CATGAAAATATTAGAAATAGAGAGCTTTTAAATTCTCCTTACACATGATTACAAGAGACTAGAAAGCTGCTTCAGAAACAATCAGGGACATTTATGATTTTTTTAAATGATTAAAATATTTTCCTTTCAACCAGCAGAGGGCAATTCAGATCCCATCAAATTATGGTATCCACCCCCGGTGTCCAAAAGCAAAGCAAAGCAAAACAAATTCAAACCAAGGCTGAGGTGATGAATATTTATGACTGAAGATTGCTTACCTTTATCCCTGGGAAAAGCTGGCAGATTTTTTTTTAACTTCTGACCTTTCAGTTAACAGCAAAACATAACACACCATGCCGTCAGAGCCCCTTCCTTTCAGGGCAAAACTAAAAGGTAATATATAGTAGTCCAACCTTTTAATGACTGAGGGTTTGGCCAGCCGCTCCAGAAATACTGGTGAGCACGTTTGTGTTCTCATTGTGTTTAACGCTGGAGGCAGCAGGAAGCTGCTGGATCTTCCAAACATCTAATTGTTATGAGCTATGGAGTCCGAATGACTCACAGCTGATCTTCCAGCAATCTGCAAATACTCAGAGACTGAGAATACCGGAGAAGAGATTGTCCATCTTTCTCCTGGAAACAGTTATCTAGTAGACAGTTATTAGTCTGCGTGAGGTTCAGGACTCAGCTTGTTAGAAATGCAGATTTTTCCCTAACCCAGACCTGCTCAATCATAATCTTCGTTTAACAGAATCTCCTTTGAGATTCTACACCTGTGAAAGGTTTACAAATACTGTGATGATTGTTTCATAGTGAACACAGCTTCCGCGGCCCCTCTGCTGACCGTTCTGATTCTGGGTTAGTGTCTAATGAGAACTTAAAAATCTGACCTGTCCAAGTTGTCAGGTGACTCTCATCATCAGGTTAAATTCGGGAAACTCCCTTCCAGGCTCCTCCCATCTCTCACGAGTCCTGACCCATTAAGACCAGGTGCACATGAGTTGCTGGGGGAGGGGGAGGGCTTTTAGAAATAGATTTTCCAGCTCTTCCCCAAAAACCTCAGTGATAATGCGTTTTGAGCAGTGATAGAATGAATTTTCTTGTCCTCCTGTACTGGGTCACTTGAATGAAAAAGTCATTTTTAGCAAGGATGGTGAACAAAATTATTCCTACAGAGGAATGATTTGTAGCAAAGAGAAACTAAGGTTCTGTGCCTAGTGAGTCTAGGTTGGGGAGGGAGCTATATATCTGGGGTCCCTCTGAAGAACTTTATTTCCAGGTAGATCCCAAGGCTATGGACAGAACCCCCAGCAGCATTACTGCAACGCTGTGACTTCTGTACAGGCATAACCGTCACAATCAGTGGCAGTCAGGCTGGCTCCTGGTGACCCCACAAGGCAGGAATGAATCACTGAGCTCCTTGGTGAAGGCTGCTTCTTAGAAACAGATTGTCAGCCCTTTCCCACTAGTCATTCTCAACCTGGAAACTGTTTACGTCTGTTTAGTGTCATGTTGTTGTTGTGTACCGTTGACTCAGAACTGACCCACAGCTGACCCTCCAGTAGGTTTTCAGAGACAGTTAATTGCACGGGAGGAGACTGCCCATCTTGCTCCCGAGGAACCACGTGGATTCGAACCACGTGTGTTTGGGATTGCAGCAGAGCTTCTTGCCAATATGTAAATCCCCAGAAATGGGTGTGTAGAAGGTGACTCAGGAATCAATTCTACCACTGAACTGAGTGAGTAGCTTCATTCTCATTAACTCATGACCAATCCTCCCCAAGTTTTCACAGGTTGTAAACCACACAGCAGGAAATGGCCCATCGTTCCCTCATTGAGCTGCCAGTGGATTTGAACTGGTTACCTTTGGGCTGGAAATGCAATTCCCTACCCACTAGCCCATGAGAGTACTACATGCCAATCCTAATGGGAAAGTGACAGCAGCTATACTACATTTTATTTAGAAAAAGAAAAGTTTTCCAGTCATCCATGGAAAAAAAAATTGGAAGAAAACAGAACAAATTTTAAATGTTTCAGAACTTCTCAGTTTACTTTGTCCATCTAAAATCCAATTTTATAAATAAAATTTTTATTGTTGTTGTGTACCATTGAGTCAGAACCAAGCCAGAGCTGACCTTCCGGCAGGTTTTCAGAGGCAGTTAATCTAAGCATCTCTTAACTCTCAGCGTCTGGGCCTGGAATTGGTTCACGTGGTTAACCCACCATGAAACATTTCAAGTCTTTGCCAACCATCACTTACAGCTGTAAAAGGCTGCTTCCTTTGAACCTCTGATTCCTTCCTACTGCTGTAGCATCATCTCATCAAATCAGAGACCATTTAAATTAGAGACCATTTGCAGCGTAGACAGTAGCTCTTAATCTGGTTGATGAGAAGGTCTAGAAACTAAAAGGTGTCCTGAAGAGCGCACCCTGGGATACGCTCGGTTACTAGCAACATATGCTTTACAGGATTTGTGACATTCCAGGGTCTATATCTCATACTATGCAGTCTCAGGGAAATGCCGTTTGTTGGTCTTATCATTACTATAGAAAGCTCTGATGGTAAGAAGCTGCTCTGGCAACCCAAAGGCATGTGGTTCGAATCCACCAGCTGCTTCTCAGGTGACAGATGGACAATAAACATTCCTGCGATTTACTGCCTCTAACCCCCCACTGGAGAGTCAGCATTGAGCCAGCTGACTCTGGGTGAAAAATTATTCCTACAGAGGACTGATTTGTAGCAAAGAGAAACTAAGAAAACAATTCTTTTCAGGGCTTTTTCATTAAGACCCATTAGAACACGAGACAGTTGTTTCCAAGCATGCTTTACTTCTTAATGTGGTTTCATTTTAGTTCTATTCTCATTTCTAACTATTAGACTTAGAACGCAAGAGTTTTGAGTTCAACTTCCCCATCCGTGGTCTGTAGACTGCTCTTTTCTATATTTAAAGTTTTATAAAGAGGAATTGACTGTCACTCATTCCGGCAGTGTTGGGTGCGCTAAATACGTTATTTATGGTCTCCAAAGGACGCTTTCTAATAACCTGACACTGCCCCATGGGTCCACGCTTGTGACGGAACCTCTGCTCCTTCTGACCTGGGCTCATCATGAGATGCTCTGTTTGGTGCACTCTCCATCCCTGGGGACCACGGGAGCAGTATTATACGGGCCCAGTCACACCTGAACGTGCAACGTGAATTTGTCCAAATATGGTTGAAGGTCAGTATGTCTCTGTCTGGACTCTGTAATCTGTAAAGTTCACTGGCTTTCCTCTCACATCAACAACTTCCTAATATCTGAATTAAGGAGTCATCCGATGTACTCTAAATTTGTTCAAGAAAAAGACCTCTTTATAAAATTTACAGTAGATTCTTACCCTTTCCTCTCATGTGCCTTTCTCTCCCTCCCCCACCACCCCCCCACCCCCCCCTCTCTCTCTCACACACACACACACACACCCACTCACTCTCTCTCTCAGATTTCAATTGAAATATCACTGAATTATAAATTTAGGAAGAAATGGCATTTTCACTATGTGGAGTTTTCTGATCCATGAACAAGAGATTTCCTTCCTCATTTTCTTGCAAGCATATTTCATCCTTTTCTATGCGTGACTCTCATATAATTGTTACGCCATTTCCATGTGTGGGGTCTAGATGCATTTGTAAATTATACATGTTTACATTACATTTTTCTTCCTCATCAATTGTAAGTAGTACACATAAATATAGTAGATTTTAATCTTAAATCCAGAAATCCTATGAAATTCACTTATTCATTTTAGTAATTCATCTGTGGACTCTTCCATGGTTTCCACTTTGAATGACAACCCGCTCATCCGTGCATGGAGTGTTCTATGACGTCAGGATCTAGGGGGACTGGGAAGAGCCCCCAATCTCTCCCTGTTGGACCCACAGAACTGACACAACATAAAGGACTGGAGCCTGTGGGTCTGTCTTCAGCGATATTTATTTGAAACAGCAATGCTCCCATGGTAAGAGTTTATACAGTAAGCGGGAAGGTTTGCCTTTCACTCCACATGGTCCACTATCGCGGGCAGCACATCCGAAGCAGCACATAAACCTCTGAAAGAGCCTGTACAGCTAGATAAATAGAACTCTGGGTAACGAACAGGACTCCAGTGACGGATACAAAAGAAAACACGCATACGCACAGCACTGTACACACAAAATGAAGGAAGACAGGGGAAGGGTCAGAGGGAGAAGTAGAGGCTGAATCGGGGGAGGGCTCTGCATTTGCAGCCACGTATCTTAAACTGCGAAGCACAAAAATGATCTTTATTTGGTCCTCATTGAGGGCAGAATATGCACAAATGATGTTCAAAGAACACAAGGTCAATGCAGAAAGGAAAAGATGTAGTACTGATTCTTGGTCTATGAACTAGTGTGAAGATGAATTCTAGGGTTTCGTTTGCCTTGTGCCTCTGGGCCAAATGGGCTCAGGGAACATGTAATTAATAAATAAGGTGGAGGTGAAGAGAACCATACCCACTTTCATTGTTGCCTTTAGAATTGGTTCTGGCGAGAAGCCCAGGGAAGTTTTGAAATGAGATCTTTCCCCAAGTCCTCCGGAGGAAGAACTTCCTCTTTGCAGCTCCTCTCACGTGGTCATTGCTAATCAGGATCCTTGGAAAGAAAATGGGACTCCCCATTCCACGGACAGCAGGAATGCAACAACACAGGCTGCACCTCAGAAACTGGCATATACGGGGTGGGGAACACAGGTGATTGTTTTCAGAGAAGCTTCGAACCCACACTCAACACACTTGACACTTTTCTATAGCAAGAGACCACCTCATTCAAACCAGAAGAGAATTTGCTGGTGAGGGA